CCAAACACCTGTTAATTTCGTGTCTTGTCGTGTCGGGTTATCGGATCGTGTCAGAAATTGCCAAGCCTAATTGACGATATACAAATTAAATATTGAAAAATGATCATTTCAAAGATTGAAATTTATAAATTAATCATCTTTGGCAATTTCTCATTTACTTCATTTTTTGGCAATTTTTTTTACAAAAAAAAAAAAAACACGAATTGAACTCAATATATATTTAATCGATTTATAGCGCCACACAGATAATGTATTACATTTTCCTATGTTAAAAATCATAAAAAAAAAACTCATACGACCAATTTTGTATATGCCCAAAAGAGGGCTATAAATTCCATGTCACAGGTACATTGCAGTTTTGTCTCAACCTGTGCCTTTGCTGCAATCCACCCGTGACGGAAAATGAAAGGTAGATGGACCAAGATCATATGGGCTCTTCACTAAGAGGTCCATTATCTTTCTTTGTTTCTTTTGTCTTGGTTCTCAAGTAAGCAAACAAGTTCAAGGCCCACTGCACAATCACCAAATGTGTGCACTGATGAAATCGTGGAGGGATAGAAAAGAGCGACTTGTATTGTCTTACCGCCTCATGTACTAAGCTTCCTGCATTTATGAGCCATTTCTTTTCCTCCTCAAACAAACATAACTCACTAAAGCATGTTTGATTAGATAGAAAGTATTTAAATTTTGGTTGGCAGAAAAATGGCAACAGCTCTGGTCGTCCCTTGTCTTCCCTCTGCTTCTTTCTTGAACAACAATGGAAGTTCAAGATTTTGTGTTAGCGTGAGTCATAAGATAATATAGGAGGTTTCCTTTAGGAATGTAAAGTTTGTTTTCTTATGTAATTAGGACCATGTAATTAGGGTTGAATATATATCCTTTTTTTGTTTGTGAATAATAATAAGAATTATTCCTACCGTATATTTCTACTTGGTATCAAGAGCCTGGTACCGTAACCTTAGTAAGAAAAACTCTCATCGTGCGCTGCTGCTGTGTGATTCTGCAAGGGCTGTGCGCTTTCTGCCCTTGTTGTATCGGTACTGCTGTGTGTTGCAGTGAAGAAAGATGGTGAACGTAGAAGATGGGGGCTCGGGGCAGAAGCCTGGAGTCGGTGGTGGTCCTGCCAATAATTCTGCGTTGAACTCGGTGATAATCCAGAATGATGCCTCGGCAGTGCCGAGTGCAGTAAAACTTAACGGATTGAACTACCCGCTTTGGTCCAAAGTATTGGAGATCCATATTGCAGGACGTGATAAGAAGGGGTTTGTGTCAGGGAGCATAAAGGAACCAAGTGAAGATAGTATCGGGTTTGAGACATGGGAGACTAGGAACGCTATTGTGAATGGATGGCTGATTAATTCCATGGAGCCGGCTATCATGAGTTTTTTCATTCACCTTCGTACTGCCAAAGAAGTATGGGAGGAGGTTGCTCGAACATACTATGATGGTTCTGATATCTCTCAAATTTATGAGTTGAAGGTTAAGTCGTTTCGACTTCGTCAGGAAGGACGTCCAGTTGGAGTGTACTATGCTGATCTAAATCTGTGTGGCAGGAGTTGGATCAACAAAGGCCGATTAAGATGGAGTGTGCTCAAGATTTGAAGACGCTGCAAGAGGAAGTCCAATTGGACCGAGTGTATGCCTTCCTGGCAGGCTTGGATGATATTTTTTATAAGGTTCATAGTGACATCTTACGAACTCAGCCTCTTCCGTCTGTTGAGGAGGTGTTCTCTATGGTTAGGCGTGAAGCTCAATGTCACGCCACTATGATGGGTGGAAGTAATGTTGGCAGCCTAGGAGGAAGACCTGCAGCTGCTATAGTGTCACAGCCTCTTGCCAATCTTCCTTCTGGAGGTTTGTCAAATTTATCTTTAAATTCCCATCCATTCACCCGGGAAAACAAAGATAATTTAAAATGTACTTTCTGCGGTCAAACACGCCATACTGAAGATACATGCTTTGCGAAGCATGGAGTACCCGAATGGTTTCCGGAGTTGAAGAAACGGTTGCGGGCAAAAGACCGTGGGAATAATAGCTCTAATGGTGGACGGGCAGCCTTTGCTACTGCCACACCGAGCAATATCACAGGAGCTGAGGTGCAATTTGGTGAGCCAAGTCAGTCGTTATTGAATTGTACGACTGTTGGTGAACCATCGTCGAATACATGTACTGTAAGCCGTGTTCTCTTAGCCTCCGACACTACTCATCATACAGGTTGGATTCTGGACTCTGGTGCAACGGATCATATGACCTATGATAAGAATTTGTTTCAGTATATGACCAAGCCCCGTAGAACATGTGTGGAGACGGCTAATGGTACTACTGCTTCGATTAATGGAGCAGGCACCGTGTGTCTCACACCATCTCTCTCTTTGCACCACTGCTTATTTGTTCCGTCTTTATCTCATCACCTACTATCTATACCGCAAGTCACGGAACAGTTGGATTGTGTTGTATTAATATGTCCATTTTTTTGTCTGCTTCAGGATATTCAGACCAATGAGATCATTAGGCGTGGCACTAAGAGAGAGGGGTTGTATTATGTGGATGATGTCGTTCCGGGAAGAGCTGCGGCGGTTCGAACGTCCACTGCTAGTACGTTAAAGGACGTATGGATGATGCATCGCCGTTTAGGCCATGCTTCTTTTGGTTATTTACGGCGTTTGTTGCCTAGTTTATTTCATGGAATAAATGATCAGACTTACATTGTGAAGTATGTATTCTTGCTAAAAGCCATCGTGTTTCGTTTCCTTCAAGTATGAATAGAAGTGTGTTTTCGTTTGACCTTGTGCATTCTGATGTTTGGGGTCCCTCCCCTGTTAGTGTGGCTTCTGGAATTAAATGGTTTGTCACCTTTGTGAATGAGTGCACCTGTATGACCTGGTTATATATGATTAAACATAAGAGTGATGTTGCTATGGTGTTTCAATCTTTCTGTCAGATGATCAAGACACAATATTCCTCTATTATTAAAGTTCTCCGCTCTGATAATGGAGGTGAATATATTAATTCTGAGTTGTCTCAGTTCCTTGGTACTCATGGGATTCTCCACGAAACAACGTGTCCCTACACTCCACAACAAAATGGGGTTGCAGAAAGGAAAAACCATCATATCTTGGAAACTGCTTGTGCATTGATCCTCGGTGCCTCTGTACCTCAGTGTTTTTGGCCTGAAACGATCACTTATGCTATCTACCTCATAAACCGTATGCCATCCCGTGTTGTGGCATTTCAAACACCACTTCAAGTGCTCAGTAAACATGTCCCCGTGGTGTCCACCAACACACTCACGCCTCGTGTGTTTGGTTGCGTGGTCTATGTTCATATCCAAAAAATACATCGTAGTAAGCTTGATCCATGTGCTATTCGGTGTGTCTTTGTGGGTTTTTCCACCCACCAAAAGGGCTATCGATGTTATCATCCTGGAACCCGCCATATGTATGTGACTATGGATGTTACATTTTCTGAATCCGAGTATTTTTATACTTCTTCCCCACAGATCACCAGGGGGAGAGTGAGACTGTGGGTGATCTGGGTTGGTTGGATTGTGATTTAGGGGGAGATATGAGTGGTCACCCCGAGTCTAATGATGCTGAAGAATGCGACAGGCCACAATCTGTGATTGCCGAGAGGAATGAAATCAGTGCTGCTGCACTGCAGCAAGTTGTTGCCGAATAGAACAATCAGGAACGGCCAGATTGTGCCGAGACCAGTATTGAACAAGAACAGCTCAGTGTTACTGATACCAGTGGTGAATTTAGTAGCAGTTTACCCTCTCTCTCTAGCTCCACAATGTCGTCCAATGTATCTTCTCTGAATATACCTGAGGTAAGTACAATAGATGATTATACAACTAATTCAAATAATATTGTTAGTACATATAAGTTGCCACCAAGACAAAATTGAGGTGTGGAACCTGACAGGTTTTCTCCGGAAGGGAAGGTGAGGTATCTAATCGCCAACTACGTATCCTGTAAGAACCTTGCACCTGAACGCAAGGCTCTGGTGAATAACATAGAGTCCATTAAAGTTCCAACACAAGTGGAGGAAGCTCTAAAAGATCCAAAGTGGGTGAGAGCAATGGATGAAGAAATGATGGCTCTACAGAAAAATAAAACCTGGGAAGTAGTGGAGCTACCTAACGGGAAGAAGCCGGTTGGATGCCGCTGGGTGTTTACAATCAAATACAGGGCTACCGGGTCCATAGATAGATACAAAGCAAGGTTGGTAGCAAAAGGATATACTCAGACATATGGTGTAGACTATCAGGAGACATTCTCTCTGGTAGCCAAAATGAATACGGTACGTGTACTTATCTCTTTAGCTGCAAACCTGGATTGGCCCCTAAAGCAGTTCGATGTGAATAATGCTTTCCTTCATGGGAATTTGGAGGAAGAAGTATATATGGTCTTTCCGCCTGGATATGACGCAGGTAGGAATCCAGGGGTTTGTCGATTGCGTAGGTCACTTTATGGACTTAAGCAGTCTCCTCGTGCATGGTTTGACAGGTTCACACAAGCCATGAAGAAGAATGGATATTGTCAGTGTCATTCTGATCATACGCTGTTTGTGAAGCGTAGATTGAGTAAAGTAACTGCTTTGATTATCTATGTAGATGACATGATTATTACAGGGGATGACTCTGATGAAATATCAAGGTTGCAGATAAACCTTGCGGCAGAATTCGAAATGAAGAACTTGGGAGACTTAAAATATTTTATGGGAGTTGAAGTTGCCCGTTCATCCAGAGGTATTTTCTTGTTTCAGCGTAAATATGTGTTGGACTTGTTGAAGGAAACTGGTATGCTAGGGTGTAAACCGGTAGATACCCCTATTGTTGAGAAGCATCATCTGGGCATATATCCAGATCAGGTACCGGTTGATAAAGGCAGATATCAGAGACTTGTAGGAAGACTGATTTATTTGGCTCATACTCATCCAGACATTGCTTATGCCGTAAGTGTTTGAGTCAGTTCATGCACTCACCGAGTACAGACCATATGGCCGCAGTCATGCATATTTTAGCATATTTGAAGTCTGCACCGGGAAAAGGAGTATTATATGGGAGACACGGACATCTGAGAATTGAAGGTTTTACTGATGCAAATTGGGCTGGTGATGTAACTGATATGCGATCAACATCTGGATATTTTACTTTTGTTGGAGGGAATTTAGTTACTTGGCGTAGTAAGAAGCAGAAAGTGGTCTCACGATCATCAGCTGAAGCTGAGTACAAAGGTATGGCACACGGGCTGTGTGAGATTCTTTAGTTGCGAAAGCTTCTTTGGGAGCTTGGGTTCAAGCCAAAGGATGCTATGAAATTATATTGTGATAACAAGTATGCAAGAGATATAGCAGACAACCCAGTGCAACATGATAGGACTAAGCACGTGGAGGTTGACAGACATTTTATCAAGGAGAAACTTGAAGGGAAAATTGTCTCTCTCCCGTGTGTGACTTCCGAGGAGCAACTTGCAGATGTTCTAGGAGCAACTTGCAGATGTTCTTACTCATGCAGTATGTAGTCGAAAGTTTAATGACTCACTCATCAAGTTGAGCATGTGTGATATCTATGCACCAACTTGAGGGGGAGTGTTAGCGTGAGTCATAAGATAATATAGGAGGTTTCCTTTAGGAATGTAAAGTTTGTTTTCTTATGTAATTAGGACTATGTAATTAGGGTTGTATATATATCCTTTTTTTGTTTGTGAATAATAATAAGAATTATTCCTACCGTATATTTCTACTTTTTGTTGCTGTCCATCATCAGTTCAAGCATCCAAGTCCAAATCTTACTAGAAACATTTCAGAATCAGAGCACTCAAAGAGAAAACTGAGGAAATAAAAACCCCAACTGCATCTTCATCTTATGCTGATTCAGCTGAGGAAATCACTAAGAAATACGGCCTCAAAGCCGGTCTGTGGAAGGTATCTGTCTCTCTCTCTCTCTCTCTCTCTCTCTCTCTCTCTCTCTCTTGTTTTTCTTCCTACCAATAATTTTCTTTCAAACTTATTAAATTTCTTTGTCTATTTGTTATGTTATTTCGAATTTAAATAAAATAAGTGTCACTCGATGAGTTTATAGAGTCTGGTTTTGTTCACCCACCTAACCATGTGTTTTGAGGGTAAGGGAGGCAGCACCAAGGCTAAGGGGTGAGAACTAGAGTTTATTAGACACTGATCTTACTCTGGTGTTTGGATACACCAGGGTTAGGGGGTGAGCAAATACAGACAGTAGTTTGTAAAACACTAAGCTAGCTCTGGTATTTTATGGGAGGTGAGGTTACACTAAAGTTAGAGCACTTCCACCCATGTTGAAAACTTGAATTAACATGGCTTGATCCCAAATCCAACCCAAAAACATACCTTCATCCATTTTTTTGGTTGCAATGGCTGGTGCCATGTCGATACTAAGTTCAAGCCCAACCTTTGGCGCTGACGTCAATGGGTCCTTTTTAATTTTTTTTAACAGGGCGTGTGATGAGAGAGTGGAGCAAAAAAATTATGTTGCGTTGGGGCCCGCCACAATAGCTACTTAACACGTGGCCAAATCTCAGAAGACACGTAAGCAAAAATCATTTAATATGGTAGAAGATGAAGTGATTTTTCAATGTGACCGGTATACGGAATGGTACACCATGTGTCATTATACAAATGATGGGATATGTGTGCTAAAAAGTTAATAACTTAAAAATAAAATTTCCCACAATTCCTATTAAAACAAGTGGTGTACCACTTGTGTTCCTATCACAATTAAAGAATTTTCTAGAAGATGATATTCGAGATATGGATAAAAATATTGATAGAAAATATTTTAATTAGAAAATTCTCATATTTTTGTCTTACTTTATTCAACGGTTCTTATTATTTTCCGTAAATTTATTTTTTAAAATCTAAAAAGTTATGAAAAAAAAATCAGGAAAAACAAGAAAAATTCAAATAAATAAAAATTCCAAAGGCTACTTGTAAACTTTTTGTATATATACTAAATCATTTTTTCTCTTCCCACACCAAAACTCTGTACAATCTTTCATTTTCAACCTTCCGATTTTGTTTGTGCTTACAAAAATGGCATCTCCGGCCGAAGTCAGAATTGCATGGTCGACTGCCAAAGATGTTTTCTTATGTGAGCGTTGGGTTGCCGTTACCCATTGGCACGACAAGAGCAACCGAAATCACTCGAAAACAAAACAATATTTTTTATAGATATAGACATGTGGCATAATCTATTGCAGTAGATATAATCTATTAATTGCCAGCCCATGCCTATTGGAAGTCTAAATCTTAATTAAGTTCGAATTATTGTCACATAGGCATTTGTCAAGTTATTTTGATAGTTGTAAGGATGTCATAGAAACTTGAGATCTATTAATTTGTAGATAATTATTAATATTGTTCTAGAAAGCCTCGAATAGGAGACTTGATTGAATGAAAAAATATAAATAAATAAATATATATATATATATATATATATATATTTGTCTTGTGCAATCAAAGTGAGTTGTTTTCTCCTCCTTAAATCAAGTGTTATGCTTGGTCCTGTCGAGTGAATACCACCCGTCTCTTCAAGACCTCTTGGCTCGTACTGAGTGATTCCTAAGTTCTATCCCCCATCTCTTCAAGACTCCTTGGAATTTGTTAAGTTATTTTGGGAGTTGTAAGGATGTCATAGAAACTTGAGGTCTATTAATTTTGTAGACGATTATAATTATTGTACTAGAAGGCCTTGAATTGGAGACTACATTGAATGAAAAAACATTATTTTCTTTGTGCAATCAAAGTGAGTTGTTTCTCCTTCCTAAATCAAGCGTTTGGCTTGGTCTAGTGAGTGAATACGCGGATTAGCAATGTCGAGTGAATCTGTTGTCACTGGTTGAGTGATTCCAGGTTATCATTCTTCATCTCCTTGAGACTCCTTGGTTCTTCATGCATCATAATCATAGTCACCTATTTTAAATTATTCTCATCTGTTTAATAATTATTAAATAATTGAATTATACATTAAAATAAAATAAATCATTGAGAATAGTAGTGTTTTAAAAACTAGTTTTAAGACTCGCCTAGGTTATTTTTGGGACCGGGCTATGAAGAAAACACTTATGCCCAGTGGGAGTGGGCTATAGACTAGCCTAAACGCCTAGGTATCTGACACATGAGGACGTCGGGCCCCTAAGGGGGGTGGATTGTAACATCCCACATCGCCTAGGGGAGTGGATCATATAAGCCTTATATGTATATTCTCATCTCTACCTAGCACGAGGCCTTTTGGGAACTCATTGGCTTCGGGTTCCATCGGAACTCCGAAGTTAAGCGAGATCGCGCGTAAGCATTCCCAGTATGGATAACCCACTAGGAAGTTCTCGTGTGAGTTCTCAGAAACAAAACCAACAAAACTGTGAGGGCGTGGTCAGGGCCCAAAGCGGACAATATCGTGCTACAGTGGAGTCGAACCCGGGATGTAACATTATCCCCTTAGGCACCTAGGTGACCTGGGCGTTTGAACTTTTTTTTTTTTTTTAAACATAGGCCAAATTCAAAACAACATCATTTTGGGCTTTTTTTTTTAAAAAAAAAATATGCTAATTTTATGTTTCTAACTTAGTTTCTATTAGTTTATTATGACTTTCTAATGTGAACTAGAGAAATAATAATAATAATATTAATTGTAGAAGTGATAATAATAATAATAATAATAATAGTCAAATATTTGATTGTTTGGCGGCTTGCTTGATTGTTTTACAAAGTGTTATATATATATAATGTTATAATAATTTTAGGTACTGTGACTATTGCCTTACGCTTCGAGACTATCGCCATGCGTTTCGAGACTATCGCTCAGGTGAGACTATCCAAAAATACCTTGGCTTCACCTTCGTCTTTTAAAACATTTGAGAATAGTAATTGTCATGTCAGTTACTATTCAAAATGGGTGGAGAGTGAATTTAACTGGGGGTGTGCTATCCACACACCCCTTTTTACTTCTTACACACCTCTTGTTAATTTATGTCCGTTGATCTTCTTCAATTCATCCGATCCGACGGCCGAAAACTAAAAAGGTATGGGAGAAGTAAAAAGGGGTGTGTGAATATCACACCCCTTTAACTGCCATGACAGTTTATAGTTTGAATGAATAGTACTTGTCATAAGTCTAGTCCTATATCCAAATCCACCAAAATAAGTGAAAATGCTCTATACATGCTCGAGGTTTTACTGACTCACCTAACCCTAGTGTTTTCTCACTCACCAAACAGTGGAATTTGTAGTAAACAGTTGGTATCACTAAAGCTAGCTTAAGTAGTGGTGAAGTTTTGGAGTGGACAAAGTCCAATTTATGATAAAAAAAAATGTCATGGGAACATGCAGATATTCAGCTCAAAAGAGAAAGGAAAGGAAGGAGAAGAGAAGTCGTCAAAGGGAGATGAAGCCAAGAACCTGCTAGCAAAATATGGAGGGGCATACTTAGCCACATCCATTACTCTCTCCATCATCTCGTTTTCGTTATGTTATGAACTCATCGGCGCCGGCGTTGATGTCCAAGCTTTGCTGCAAAAGGTACAAGCAATCACCACATGAACCCAATGCAAACTTGACTCGTTTTGTATGTGGAAGAATGACCTTTCATTCTATGGTGTTTTTCAGGTGGGAATGTCCGATGGCAAGACCGGAGAGAAGGTTGGGACATTCGCTTTGGCATACGCTGCACACAAGGCCGCTTCTCCGATTAGGTATCCTCCGACAGTAGCTCTCACTCCCGTTGTAGCCAGATGGATCTGAAAGAAAATCGAAAAGGCGAATTAGCTTCTGTGTTTACTTATCGTATGCTATATGGTCCTTGTTTTTTTGGAGTTCCTGCATTGCAACTTTAGGTTGTGTAGCCATAATCCACATCAAAATCTCCGTTCGACTTTTGTTAGTTTTCGGTTTTATTTAGAGAAAGGCACGAATCAAACTCCTGGGCATACTCATGCGTTCAAATCGCGTGTTTGGGCATCTTCAACATCGCATGAACACGCTTTACTTGAGTAATTCAAATCTTAAATTGAGATCAATGAAGAAACCCAAAGCTTTACAGAGAGAGTAGGGGACTATACCCTTCAAATCGAACTGTCATGAAGTAATTCGGAATCCGAAACTGCAGCAATTCTAACTCAGCATAAAGAGTAATTGAAAACATAACGAGGTGATTATGGGGTCGTACGACCATACTAACATTCTCTATCCGCCGATATCCAGCCTTCACTCCGGTTACTCCAACAAAAGCCTGCTGATTAGACTCTAATATATACAAGGATGTACTAACAATTGTAACCTCTTATTTGCCACTATGTCACATAGATATCTATATTACATTAATGTACAATGAAACAGGCACCTCCACCCACCATTACGTTGTTCCTTGTGCCTTCGATGGGTCTTTCCTGGAACACTTGGGCAGCTTCCCGAACCTTCAACCCAACCTCCGAGGTCAAACAAATACGGGAGATGGTTGGACATCACAGGCTCCCAAAACATGCCTGCATCTGCAATTAGATTCATTTAACGAATCACTTATACGTTCAAGTCTTCGTAGGGTTGCTGGTAGTAGAAGGTACTTCAATTAAGCTGGATGGCGGAGTTTGGGGCCGAGGTGGTGTGCTGACATTACCCAACAGATAATCATGATCAAGTGCACCCAAATCATTCCACAAAACCCCAGCTATAGTTGATATGGTCAAGAAATTGTTTACCGGTCAAATATAGACACAAAGAAAACTAAGTGAAAAGAAATATAAAATATTTCGGCACAAGGATACGTTCTGTTCTCCACAAGTCTGTGATACTAATATCAGCATCTGATAAAAGCCAGTAATCTGCATCACTCTGCAAAGGTAACAGGAAATGTTGACATGCTACAAGTCAAAGTTATTTAAGTTCATAAAAGATCAGTACTTGGCTAAAAAACTAGAACTCTAGAACATGTTAGCCATTAAATACCGGGTTTGCAAAATTATGTAAGAGAAATGAAAACAGTTCTTGCTAACTCCACCGAACCCGACCAATTAACAAAAATTTTGTAGCATATCGCATCTTTCAAATAGGCAGTGGTAAAATCAATCTAGAAGCCAAACTTACATCAACATCTGAGGGAACAATCTTCATAATCCCACCAGTTAAGTCCTGGGCAGCCGTAGGATCAGCAGACATTGTATGATCATCTGGTACCTGCAGTTCAACATCCTTCCCTCTATCCTCTGAAACCATTGTTGTAGCTGGGTTTTCATTAGCACCTGAAGTTGCAGCGATGTTTGTAGGTACTTCGACACCATTAATCTCCTCAAACTTCTCCTCAAATTGACTACAATGAGAGACCAAGAGAGATCACTAAAACTCTTCGTAATTTTTTACTTTGCAAGCAGGAGAAAACATTCACTGTTGTTTGTAAAGTAATCATAATCGATCATGAAGCAACAATACCTGACAAGGTAAACATCTATAGGACCCATTGTGCTTCTCAAAACCATCCTGTATCTCCTTTGGGGATAGTCAACAGCCTATTACATGAAAGAAAATTTTGATCGAATAATAATGATAAGCAAGCCAGTAGAGAAATTTTATGAAATAACGTTTTGTCCTGAACTCTACCTCGTCAGGATCTGGGACTTCAAGAGTGGTGCCATGTGGAGCTTTTATTGCTATTAAGGTTTCATTCTGACAGAAGAAATAAATCATACATTCAGGTTAACAGCGCAAAGGAAAACGTTTTGTTAGAAAATACAGAATGTAGAACAATGTCAGTTGCAAATAGCACACACCAAAGTTTTACCTGCAAGCAAGGTAAGCCCTTAATGTCTTCTTCGGTGACAAAAAGCCATCTACCAGAGTACAAAGGTAAACTGAGATAAGTGTGTGCATGCATTGCATTACAATGGACAGTTGAAAACTGATCAATGTTGACCATCCATGAAAGTAAATGAATATTGGTGAACATAAAAGGATAAAACTTTACTTCTTATTGCTTTCATTGTCGCTTAGGTCCCTCAACCTTTCCTGCATTTCTCTGGACAATTTAATAGCCTCAGCACAACCCAGAGTTCACCAAAAACAACAGCAGCAAAAAGAATAATAATAATACTAAAACTAATAGCAATAGAAATAAAAACAATAATAATAATAGAAGAAAAAGCTACATCAGCCTAAGTAACCTTATTTGCTGATCTAATCTGTGCTCCTCAATAGATAGGTTTTCAACTTGTGCCTGAGACAAATTATAAAATATAGTGAATGAGTATATCAGTACTTCAGATATACACAGATTATTTTCGTTGCTACTTTCAATGAACAGCTCTCACATAAATTTAATCCACCAGGACAGTAATTAGCAAGCTCAACCAAACAAAAGCCTTGGAAAACTCTTTCCGGTGAGAAAGCAAATCCTGCCTTTTCATGCCAGTCATTCAAATTAAAATACACAACACAGAATTGGAACTGGACAAATGTGGTCTGAAATCTAGCAAGCTCAACTAAACAAAATCCTAGCAAACTGTTTCTAATCACAAATGCAAATCCTGCTTTGGCATATCAATCATTCATATTTGAATGTATTATACAGAAATTGGGAATGGAAAAAACATGTCGACTGAAATCTACAACAAACAAGTAAAGAGCATAATATCCTGCTTCGTCATGCCATTTCTTCATATTCGAATGCATTACACTAAAATTTGGAACCGTACAAAACATGCAGACTGCATTGATATGACTGATGTCATGGTTGAGTAACGATATCATGCTGGAGTGTAAAAAAGGAAAGCAATTTGCATAGGAAATTGAACCAGTCAGTAATGGGCTGTTCAATTCAGATTTATATGGCCATTTACTTCCTTACAAAGTCAATGCAACCTCAACATTGATGGTGAGGTTGGAGATTGACACATCCAAAAAGAAGAGAGAAAAAACCATGACACAAATACAAACACAAACAGCATGAGTACTACTAAGCAAACAAAGATAAACTGTCAAAAGCTGACCCAAGACTGAGCCATCGAAGTATAAGCATGCCAATAAAAAAGTTCACTGTTTCTTGTACCTGTAAACTAGGATAATTTTCGTCCACGTCTCCTGTCCTCGAGACATCAAGTCCCCTAACCAACCAATCAATCAGTTTAATTGACTTCTAATATACAGTGGATAATCAAATTTTTAATATAAAGTGGAAAGAAAAAAGCTGTTAAATTTCAGGAAACAAGGCCAATGAATCCCTTACTTCCACTGAATTCTATTTTTGAGCTTCTTCTCTATGAGACCAATTCCTTCGAGAACATTTGTTATATCATATATCCGCCTCTTTTGGACCTACAGGAAAAGAACACTTCTCATTAATAGACCATTTACACAGAATATATTACAACAGAAAGGAAAGTAGTCACCTCTAAAGTATCAGCAGCTTTATTGAGATCTAGAATACCATCTTCCGCATGTTTGATCAGATTGATAAACTTCTTTGTTAAGAGACCTGCATGGAGACAATAAGTAATATTTTTATTCTAGTAAATGACTGATGAAAATTTTAACCTAATTTTCTCTAGAAGAGCCTAAATAATAATTGAAAATCAGTTAACAAAAACATAGTCAATTGTTCTGTTACCTAGGGAGCTGTCAAAACGACATGGACCAGCCGGAGTAACATTAGCGCCAGAAGGAGAACCTGAATATCATACAGATTAGATACTGGTAATAGACTATGTAACTCTAGTAAATTATTGTAGCATCAAGTAATTCATTCTTTACAAAACAAACAACTAATCCATTCTTCTAAGTCAATTCAAATTTTCCTCAGAATAAGTGGATAGGGCCTTGGCAAAATATTTTATTAGCAACACTCACCCACATTGGAAGCCGGAGTCTGCGGTCCAGATTTGCTGCACTTTGTAAGCCTTGATGTTTTGTTCGCCTTTCCAACCTTGGTTGACATAGGAGTCTGGAGGGGGCTGTTACCTACGTCAGTGTATCCAGGAGCAGTTGTCCTATCACTAGATTCGGCTTCGCAATCTACTGCATCACTCTTCCTTTTTAGCTGCTAACCCACCATTCAGTTTTTCCAAAACACAAAATTAGCACCAAATGAACAAACCATATCACATAAATAATTACAAACATGAAAACTAATGCTCAATTCAACATAAACAATAACTATGAAGAGAATGAGTATTATAAGCATCCAATTACATTCAATGTTAACAAGAACATTCAAACCAACTTAAGTTTCAAGGGGACCACACACTACAAATTATAAACTTAAGGAATCACAAATTCAAAATTCTATAGATCCAGTCTAATCTCTAGAGAATTCTAACCTCTACATAGACACAGCAGAGAAATAAACACCATTGCCATTAAGGGAAAACCAATTGTTATTCATTCTCTTATTTCCTAAACCATATATTCAATAAATTACATTTTATAAATTTCCTCTATAGAATACCACGGTATTTGAAAATTTTGTACAAAGAACCAACTTGTCTATACTGCATAAAAATTTCAGAACGCACAAAAACTAGGCAGTACAACCACTGGCATTGAAAGGAAACTCCCAGAAGGTAGGTCAGCCAAGAAGGATTCATGAACAATACATAATTATTAAATAGAATAAACACTGCATATCAAGAAACATGCCAACTTTATTTTGGAACAACTTTTGTATGTGCTGTTCACAGTCGAATGCAGTAACAGAGGCTGATCATAAGTAAAGGGGAAGAACCACAAGGCAAACAACCAGTGCAACAACAAGAATCTAACTGTATCAGCATGCTTAAGAAGCATGCCCCAAGATATGTGCAGGGCCTTTACGTGAAAAATTAACTTAAAAGCCTCCAAGGGAAACAGATACCAAAAGACGAGAGAGAGTGTTTGCGTGTGTGTTCCCAAATGATCTAT